CTCATCATCGGGGGCCCCCGGGGCCCCCGGGGGCCCCCGTGGCCCCCGGGGCCCCTGGGGGGCCCCCCCCTGCCCGCTCGTACTCTCTCTTGAGGGGGGGCCCCCCTCTCTGCTGTTTGTTTGAATTTCTGTTGCTGGTGATGCACATGCTTTGGCTGGAGCCCCCTCAGCAGCAGCAGCAGCAGCAGGAGGAGCTGCTGCTGCTGTTGCTGCAGCGGTTTCTGGGGGCCCCCCGGGGGCCCCCTCAACTGGTATAGGGGGGCCCCCAGGGGCCCCCAACTCTGCTGCAGGCGATGCAGAAGGTATTAAGATGTGGGTTCTGAACCAAATGTCTGTTGAGGAGAGTTTGTTGCAGCGCATGAGCTGCTGCACGGATACACCGTATTCAGCAGCAATAGATAAGAGAGTGTCTGCGGGCCTGATCCTGTGTTTGTATTGTATTGCTGCAGCTTCTGCTGCAGCAGCAGCAGCAGCAACTGGAGCAGCAGCAGCAGCAGCAGCAGCAGCACAGGCAGGAACTGCAGCACACCCTGGGGGGCCCCCTACAACAGGCTCAGGCGGACGAGGAGGGGGGCCCCCAGGATCAGGGGAGAGAAGCGGCATTTCAAAAGCTAGAAAAGAATTATGAGAGTCAAAAAGAGAAAAATAAATGGTGGGGGCCCCTGAAGCAGCAGAAGGGGCCCCTAAAAAGAAGACACGTCTGCGGCTGGTAGTATTGAGGAGGGGGCCGGCAGAGAAAAGCGAGAGAAATGAAGAGTAAATGATGGAAAAAAGACAAATATGAATTAAAAAGTCAAATATAAATGGGGTTTTAATGCAGAGAAACTCTTTCTACAAACAAAATAAACTGCAGGCTGAGGAAGCTGCAAACGAACGCCGCAGTGGCCGGGTCCATGCAGCTCAGGGAGAAAGAGGAGGATTCTGCGTTAATTTTTCATCAATTTTCAAAAAAAAAGAAATATTTGAATTTTATTTTATTATTTTTATTCATTTCTCTCAGCTTTCCGCAAAAAAAATCTGCTTTCTTATACATTAGCGTCCGCGGCCGCTCAGGTGTACAGGCAGCTCAACCCCTCTTGCACGCTGTTGGTGTGCCGGTTGTTTTTGCGTTAATTACTTCAAAAAAAAACAAAATAAAAACAAAACTATTCATTAAACATTAAAAAATAAACATCTCCACATTACTCACACAAATTTGGGTCTGAACCCCAAACCCCTTCTTCACTTGCAAACCCTAAACCCTAAACCCTAAACCCTCGATCCTAGTCAAGGACCCTTGTGGTCTACAAAAGCTCAAAACATATTCAGTAAAATTGTTATTTAATTGTTAAATTTAATAAAACTCATTCAGCTCCTCAAGTATCAACTAAATATATATGCAATGCATGTGTACATATTATATATATATATATATATATATATATATATATATATATATATATATGTATATATATATATATATATATTATATATATTATATATATTATATATAATATATAATAAATTCCATGCTGCCTCCCTATGCTTCCTAAAACAGTAGGTTGCTCCTCAGCAGGCGACCCAGTGTTTTAGGGTTTAGGGTTTTTAGGGTTTAGGGTTTTTAGGGTTTAGGGCTTTTAGGGTTTCGGGGTACACCGCATTATATATTCAGACACGCACATGATGCGTTTCGCTGCAGCAGCAGCAGCAGCAGCAGCAGTAGCAGCAGCAACAGCAGCAGCAGCAGCAGCACCAGCAGCAGCAGCAACGGCACTAACAGCAACAGCAGCGGTTGCTGATAGAATGCCCTAAACCCTAAACCCTAGCCTATGCAAACCCTAAACCCTAAACCCTAAACCCTTTAAAGCGTGACGCAGCAGAAGAATGAACAAATAGAAGATAATTAATAAATAAAAATAAAAAACAAAAAAACAAAAATAAAAAATAAAACAAAAAACAATAAACGCATAAATGAAGAATAAATAGATAAACTAAAAGTAAAAAAAAGAATAACAAATGATATACAATATATATAACTAAATAATAAATAATAAATAATAAATAAAAAACAATAAACAAATAAATAAATAAATATAAATAAATAAATAAATAAAATAGAAACAACCAAAACAAGTTTTGTTGCTTCGCGAGGTTTCAGCTGTATACCGAAGTAATAATCATAAACCCTAAACCCTAAACCCTAAACCTCAAACTATATATATATATATATATATATATATATATATATATATATATATAT